CCGCGGCCGGTCCGGCCGAGGTGTTCGCTCCGGCGGCTCAAGCCCGTTGGGCAGGCGGCCGGGGGGCAGCTCGCGAGGCTGAGGCAGCGACGGCTGTGTGAAGAGAGGGGGAAGAGGGGTGCTGTCCATTGGGGGGTGCGGGGGTCATCTGTCGGGGGCAGCTCATGGGTCTGGGTCCTAGCGATCGCAGGGCCATCTGTCCTGAAGGCGAGGATGGGAGGACCGCGGGACTGTTTCCTCCATAAGCCAACTCTTGGGGGCCCCGTGGATTTGAGGAGTGAGTCTGTTAGGACTCCTTGGTTTGGGACCTCTCTAGATGGTGGGAAGAGGGGACTGGATCCGTGGAGGAGGGGGTGCAAGCAGGTGGGTGTCCCAGCTGTTTGTAGGAAGGATCTGGGGCTTCCTTCTGTGTGTGTGTATGTGGCTCTCTATGAAGAAATTTAGTACCGCCCTGGGTGGAAGAAATATGCAGTCCAGGGCAGATGTGGGAAGAGTCTGGAGTGTGTGTGTGGCGGTGGAGTAAGGGTCTTTTAGGTTAGTGCCCCACCTTTCTAAAGGAGAAATTTTCAAATTCTGGCGGTCATCAAGGGGCCCTGAGAGTCCATGCTGTCTCTGCAGGATCCTGGCAGGGGGATGGGCACAGGGCTAGGCACTGATTGTTTCTGAGATCCTGACTCCTGCTCGAAGGTGAGGGGTCCCCAAATCCTCACCCATTCTGAGGCTCAACTTACCCCAGCAGGGAGTCCTGGGCCTGACTCTTTCTCCTGCAGCTGCTCCACAATGTCAGCCAGGGTGGCCTTCCTAGGGGCAGGGGAGACCAAAAGACTCCGTGGAACCTCTCCCAGGGACCTTCCTGGCGGGTCAGAGAAGCCTCTACCCTTCGGCCTGAAATGCCAGGCCCCTGTCCACTTCTGCAGCTATGTCTCTCAGAGGCTTGTGTTACATACCACAGGTGTCCAGGATATATCTGCTGACTGGAGAACCAAACCTCTCTTCCCTTTAAGTTAAAACTCGGCACAAGGAGCAAAATGCAAACCGGTGCATTCAAGCCTTTGAACCTACTGTTGCTTTTCTCCACCCACCCTGAGCCTCCCGCATCCCAGCCTTACTGACTCTGTGTCATCACTGTCTGGTGATAAGTCTGTCTTCCCCACTGGACTGTGAGCCCCATGAAGGCAGGGCTGGAACTGGTTCAGTCACTGCTCTCCTTAGCACAAGTTGGGCACAGAGTGGGCGCTCAGCAAATGTTCATGTATGTCCTATTTTTTAAAAAGGGTCACAAAGTTATTGTCTCCAGACCAAAGGCCTCTTTCTAGAGACACAGGTGACACACTCTGGCTAACTCTTGATTCTGAAAGTTCTGATTCCTCCAAGCTGAGTGACCAGCCCTCTTTGTGCCGTGGTTGGCCTGTTCACACAATGGAGATGACAAGAGCCCCACTTTACTATTTGTATTTTTTGAGTTGGAGTCTCACTCTGTCGCCCAGGCTGGAGTGCAGTGGCACGCTCACGGCCACTGCAGCCTCGAGCTGCTGAGCCCAGGTGATCCTTCTGCCTCAACCTTCCAAGTAGCTGGAACTGCAGGCACGTGCCACCATGCCCGACTATTTTTTTTTAATTGTAAAGATAAGGTCTCACCAAGTTGCCCAGGCTGGCCTTGAACCTGTGGGCTCAGGCAATCCTCTCCCCTCGGTCTCCCAAAGTGCTGGGATTATAGGGGTGAGTCACCACGCCTGGCCAAGAGACCCACTTTATTATAAGGCTGTTGAGAGAGACTGTGATAGAGTCTTCTCTCCAAGCAAGGAGATGATGGTCCCGCCATTAGCCCAATGGACACACTGAGGAGCAGAGGACAAAATCCCCGCCCAGGGGGGCACCCAGGGGACTTGATGCCGAGTCATAACTCAGTGGCTGAGAACCTGCACCAGGAGGAAGGCACGCTCTCTTTTCCTTCAACAGGAAGGGCTGCCCCTCCTGCGCAACGATGGGCACATCTCCTACTCTTTCGCCTCAGTTTACACCTCTGCACAATGGGTACCACGCTGGTATCTACCCCTTTAGGAAGGGCAGAGTCCGAAAGCCCCTCCACTGGCTCTGAGCGCTCTGCTTCCCCTAGCTCTCAGCCCTCGTCACACACACGCCGCCTCACCCCTTGGCCAGGTCTCCTCTGATGGGCATCTCCTGCTCGCTGGACTCCTGGC